GGCCACTTCCTGCCTCAGAGCAGAGTTCTCCTTCTCCAGGAAGCTGGCCCGGATGGCGATCTGGTTTTCCTTGAGGCGTCGGGCGTCCCGGGAGCGCTTAGCAGCTAAATTGTTCTTCCTGCGCCGGGCCCAGTATTTGTCATCCTGCTCGAAGAAGAGCGGAAAACAGGAAGGATTACTTCAGAGAAAATAATAATCAGCTTTCTAGCACGTTCAAATTTTGCCTCCCTGAACCTCCCCTCACCCCCACCGCCGCCCCTCCCTGGGTCTGGTGCTGCTGGAGGTTTCTTCCTGTTAAAAGGGAGTTTTTCCTTCCCACTGTCGCCGAGTACTCGCTCATACGGGGCCATCAGATTGTCAGGGTTTACTTTGCTGTATAAAGTCGTTGTCGCAGAAACTAACAAGAAATAAAAACCCCTAAAATTCTTCATATCAAACAAGGTGGTAAACTGTAATGACCTGCCTCCATCTCACTCTAATCCTGCATCCATGAATCCTCTCTGAGCTCCACGTTCAGCATCCTTCATCCAGCACAGCCGCCCTCCCTCCTCTGCACATGTGCAAGCCATCTCAGCCTCTCTGACTCTGATATTTCTGATCGTGACCACATGAACGCCTCAAAGGTCGTGAGCACACAAAGCAGGAGGAAGCGTAAACGGTGAGTTTGGTGTGCTTATCTGAGTCCTTGTCTCTGTTTGAAGGACCGAGTGTGGATGACTAAACGCCGCGCACGTTTCCTCCTGCGCTCGCACACTCCTGCGCCCGTGTTTCATTTGAACAAATTAAAAGCCAAATCCTCTGAGCCCGACCTCACAGCAACGTCTCCGCTCCCTCATTCACACTAACATAAGCCTCTTAACCCCGAGACCTCTGCCAGCCAATAGGAGAGCAAGAAGCCAGCTCGTTCTGTCCCAGCATGCTGTGCAGCTTTAAGCCGCGCCGACTAATCAGCCCTAATGGATCTGCCGGCCTGCAGGCATTCACATCACATCCAGGAGAACCCGAGGACGAGTGCCTCTGCTGCTTCACTCAAACATCTGAACTCTGACCTGAGGCGCTTCGTCTCATGTAACCGATTCCACATAATCATATAACTCAGTCAAACTGAAGCGTTCTGATGATAAAACCTTTTCATTCACGCTGAACTTCTGCTGCTTATTATTCTCTAACCCTCTCTGAACACCGCCACCCTCAGGTAAGACTGGGAATTACAGCGAAATCTGAGCCGCTCATCGGGATAGAACCAACTCCAAATTACCTTCATTTCGTCCGGGATGAAGACCTTTCGAGCCTTCTTGATCATCGGCTGCGGTTTCAGCTCCTCAACCGAGAACTTGCGCTTGCGCGGGTCGAAGATCTCCTGACCCGGGACGCTGGACAGAGCCAGGTCAGCTGGGTCGGGCTCAAAGCTGACGGGGACCTGGATGGAGTCTGGGTCGATGGGGCTGGAGGTGTTTCTGGAGTTTGGGAGGCCTGAAAGAGAAACAGAGGACGGTTCAGACTGGGGCTCATGTGACTAACGAGTAACACAGAGGGAGACACGAGCAGACAGTTTGACTCTCGTTTGACCTGTGAAAGAATCGAAGAATTAGATCAGCGGTCCCCAACCCCCGGGCCTCGGACCGGTACCGGTCCGTGAGTCGTTTGGTACCGGGCCGCGAGAGTTGAGGCTC